AGAGCCTGTGCTGGGCACCTCACCTTTTTGATGGTGGCACAGTACTGAGGCAGCATGCTCTGGTCCAGCCCTTCTATTTGTTTCAGCTTCTCACACACTGCGTCCACACTGAGCGAGTTCAGTGCTATCACTGGTCCTGGGGCCGGGCCTGATCCCTAGGTAAATCGGGGGAAACACAGGTATGAGGAGCATTTAATGGCAGACACAGGTAGTTATGTGACAAGGACAAACATGTTAAGTTATATTACAAAGTAAAGTAAAAACAAGGAATGAGTGTAACATAAGGAAATGCTATTAGGGGTCAGATTAGCTACTGTTACACGCTAGTAAGTAGCTTTTATTACAGCTGAGACAGCCTTATCAAAACCACTCTTCTAAGAAGATAAAACATGCCATGAACCAAGCTTAGGGCAACTTCTCGGATGTTTACAGCCAAACCTCAAGAGAGAAAGGTGCTGTCCTCAGAAAGAGGAAGCACAGAGGTTTCGAAAGGGGCAACACGGGGCAAACTACTGATGCCTGTACTACAGGAACACAAGAAGTAAAGGTGCACGTTCCAACCATCTGAGCAGCTTTAAATATTTCTACAGACTAAATGGCTATGATGTTCAGCTCTTGAACACGTTTTACATCCAAGGGATCTGTAATTTCCTTTAGAATCTGTACAATAATCATGTACACATAAAACTGTTATTTTCTTAATATATAAAAGTAAACATAGTCTATCAAAATTTGTTGTCATTTAAAAGAAAAGCCAAAATGATAAATAACCTAGTATTTATTTAGGAGAAAAACATTTTCTGAACGCAGTAACATACTAACGAAGGCTCTGCCTGTGGCCAGTGGTAGCTGCCACCTCCTTAATCACAGATGTGCAGGCTGAGATCTAGAGGGTGAGGGTGAACTCTGAAGTTACAGGGTAAGTAGCGAGGCAGTGGTAGATCGGGACCAGAACACTACTTAGCAGCTTTTATAACTTCCTGTTTTCCTTGCTCCAACTGCCTGTTTTTGATGAGGTTACAGAAACTATAGTCACTATAAAGAGAAGGCTAACACCCAGGACAGAGAGAACGTGCCAGCCAATCCGTCCTGTTTACACTCAATCGAACCTTCAAGCAAAAAGTAAAAATCTAAAATATCCTCAGGGTACGTAAATTTATATTTTCTACAGCCTTTTATCTGAGTGGGGGCACACGTAAACTACGGCATAGCCAAAGATGCCTGTTAGCCATTTGCTGAACATCATTTGTAACAAGAAAGCATAATATAAGTCTTATTACTTACTGATAAATATATGTACATGTCATGTGTGTAGCAGATAAATAACGTGCATCTGTAGTACAGATGAACAGAAATACAGCTAGGGAATGATACCATACTGAACAGATGGCCGGAGTAGTAACTGAGGAACAGAGGAGAGTCAGGCAGTCTGAGCAAGTCTACAAGTATGACACGGGTCCATAAAAGTTTGGGAACTAATGACCTGGAATATAGCGTGCCAAACACATTTATTTACAGTTTATTTTTAATTAAATATAGATTTTAAATATGCCATATTAATGGTGCAGGGTTCAAATTGCTCCAAAAATACTAACAGCAAAAAAGTCTTGGGTGACACCTGTGGCTCAGCGAGTAGGGCACCAGCCCCATATACCCAGGGTGGAGGGTTCAAACCCGGCCCCAGCCAACTGCAACAACAACAACCACAACAACAAAAATAGCTAGGTGTTGCTGTGGTGCCTGTAGTCCCAGCTACTTGGGAGGCTAAGGCAAGAGAATCGCCTAAGCCCATGAGCTGGAGGTTGCTGTGACACCACGGGGCACTCTACTGAGGGAGACAAAGTGAGATGCTGTCTCTCTAAAAAAAAAAAAGTCTTTCCATAACTTACTTTTCATCTCTGTATATGAGGCCTGGCAATTAAATTTGTGAACTCATCCAGAAAAAGTGTCCTATAGCTCATCGCTACATACCACTACAGTCACCTTTGAAGTACTGCCCTTGGGAAGCTGTGCACCAATCAGGTGCCTGGTCTACCCTTCACGGCAATTCTGGAACGACCATCAGAGACGCTGCTGTACAAGGTCCGACAGGTTTGTGAACTTGCCGCCACTCACTTACATTGAGCACTGTGCTAACACCTCGGTGCGGTCTTGGGACACTCGTCTACCAGTGTTTCACAACTGAGTCTGTGTTGAGATGTGGTGATGCCTTGTTCAGGGAGGTCATTATTGTCCTTGCATGGTTTTGTGTGCCAAACCATGACAGCTTTGATGGTCATTCCAGAAAAAGAGTTGTAAAATTGCTTTGAAGGGTGGACCTGGCACTGTGGGTGCATAGCTTCTTAAAGAGAGCACTTCGAAGGTGACCATACTGATACTCAGCAATGACATATGTCCCACTTTTTCTAGGATGAGTTTTCAAACTTGTCAGACTTGTATAGTTCTATCTGGTCAACCAGAACCAATATTTGAAGTGTTAATTACCCATTATCTATTACAAAAATGTTTTCTATGTATTTTTAATAACTATGTTTATCTTTTCTTTTTAAATAGCTAGCTACACTGAAATACAACTCTTCCATTTGAAGTGTGGAACAGAGGGATTTTCAGCATATTTATATAATTGTGAAATCATCACCCCACACCGAACTCCTGTACCCATTAGCAGTCATTCCCCACCCCCTGAGCACCCACCTCTACTCCTGTTTCTAGATTTGCCCGTCCTTGACAGGGCTCATAAACAGAACCACACAGTACACAACCTTTCGTATCTCACTCAGTATACTGTCCAGGTTGACCCCCAGTCCACCTTAGAACACGTGCCAGTACCTCGTTTCTTTTTATTGCTGAGCAAAGTGTATATTAATATTTAATGAAAGATCTTTTAAAGCTCTTTCATTCTGTCTTTCAAATGCTTTTATTCCTCAACTGCCTCCTCACTCTGAAAGTATTAACACTTGATTACGTTTTTTTGGTTCAAAAATCAAAAAATACTTTGATCAACAACATAATGATCGTACTAGATTACGCCTCACAGGTAAACTCAACGTCCCCAAGTCCATACTAATGTAACTAAATAATTAAATAAGTAAGTGAATTAGCGAGAAGAGGCGACCTTTCCTTACTGAATTCCCTAAAAGATGCAGAAGAGGGACATAGAAAAGCAAATGTCACAGTTGACGGGAATGTGCGGTGATCCACTGACAGCCACTAAAATCAGGGAGCACCAGTGTGGGCAGAAACAGGGCTCTGCAGTTTCAAAGTGCCTCTCCCAGGAGATTTATGAGTTACAAAAGGAAACACAAAACCTTACAATGTGGAAAGCTGGCAGACACCACCTTAACCAAGTGATCAAGGTTAGAATTCCTGGTGGGAAGACTCAGGGACGGCACAACCCCTCTACCGGCTGCACTGAGGACGCAGCAACACCCCTGTGATTTTCTTGCAAGGTACAACCTCCTTCCAAACACAGAGACATCAAGACAAACCCAAGTTGAAGGACATGTTAAAAACTAACTGACCAATATTCTTCAAGTGTTAATTAAGGTCTTGAACTACAAGGAAAGACTAGAACTGTCACAGCATAGAGGAGACAACGGAGAAATAATAGCAAACAGAACTGAAATCAGACCGCGGACCGGAAAAATGGCATCAATGGAAAAGCTGGCAAAACCCACAGAGGTCTACAGGTCGGTTAACGGTGTGTGTCTATTTTAGTTTTTGCCTTTAATGATTCTACTTTTGATAATTTTAATTTCTGATTATGAAAGATGTTTCCATGAAGGGAATTCTATAGTTTCTGTACCTTTTCTTTATGTCTAAAATTACATATATTTTAAAGTAAAAAGTTGATTTAAAAAGCCCCTCAAACTCTATTTTTGATTGTACTATAAAGGATGAGTATGACAGACATGAGCCAAATGAACTCTGCCAGCGTGGGGGGCATGTAAGGTACGAAAGAGCATTTCATCTCCATGGAGAATCTGAGAATTCAGCCACAGAGACATGGTAATAAAGACACTACCCTTTTCCTGTAAAGCAAGAAATTCCAAGTGATGTTACTGCAACCATCCTTTAACACTTTCCTATTTTATTACTCACTTTAAAATACATTTTAACCTTCATTAGGGATAATGTAGAATATATATATAGTTGTGTATATTAAATATCCTCTGAATTTTTAAAAGCTCTATAGAAAAGATAGGCACACATGTGGACATAAGATCTTTGTGATTTCATCAAAACACAGTCTGACTCTTGATTATTTGTAAGTTGGGCTTTATGTTGGGATAAATTATCAATTAACGAAAGCGTGTTACAATATGCTTCTTTGAATAAAGGAGAAATGGCAAATATCTGCCAGGTCTTTTCTAAGATAATCATATATAATAAAAAATTTTTGAAACCTTATAACCAAATAATGATTTTTATTTATTTATTTATTTATTTATTTATTTATTGGAGACAGAGTCTCACTTTGTCACCCTCGGTGGAGCACCGTGACGTCACAGCTCACAGCAACCTCCAGTTCTTGGGCTTAGGCGATTCTCTTGCCTCAGCCTCCCGAGTAGCTGGGACCACAGGCACCTGCCACAACCCCCGGATATTTTTTTGTTGCAGTTTGGCTGGGACGGGTTTGAACCTGCCACCCTTGGTAAATGGGGCCAGAGCCCTACCCACTAAGCCATAGGCGCTGCCCCCAAATAATGGTTTTTAGATAGAAATCTCATAAAAGGAAGGAGAAAGAGCACAGAAGTGATAAGGAAACAGTAAAAAACATATTCAGTAACTCAATAGGTAAATTCATTTTTTGTTTTTTGGTTTTTTTGAAAGACAGTCTCACTTTGTTGCCCTCGGTAGAGAGCCATGGTATCATAGCTCACAGCAATCTCAAATTCTTGGGCTTAAGCGATTTTCTTGCCTCAGTCTCCCGAGTAGCTGGGACTACAGACAGCCGTCACAACACCCGGCTATTTTTTTAGAAACAAGTTCTCACTCTGGCTCAGGCAATCC